AACATTCTGTGATTTTGTGTGGAAACAAGTTATTGTAGAACTAAAATAGTTCTCTGCACATTGTCATCAGAGTTCCAGTGCCTTTCCTTTTACCTGTGAAAAGTTACTCAACATTTAAGTGGGTTAGAAGTGGTAACTGGGGGGGGATGGAGTGGAGGGCAATCTAGTCTTTGCTTCCTCTTCCCTCCAAGTGAAATCTCATGTTGCAAGTGAGGAGGAATTGGGAGGTGAGAAGCGTCTGCTGTCTTAAGGGACAAAATTATAAGAAAAGTGGAGAGTTATCTGGTCTTTGTTTTAGGTGGTACTTCTACTTGGGGAGCATGTCCCCTGAGTTTTAAGGTCAGATGCTGTGATTTTATCCACTCAAAAGCTGCAGAACAGCTGCCGCAGACTTGTTCTAGGAATATGCTTGTCCTTTGTTGGTCTGGAAATGTCAGCTTGACCTTAGAATAGTTTTGTGTTGTTACTGTAAACACAGTACATGTCTGCAAACATATTCCTGATAAATGTAAATAAAAGTATGAAACAACAGGGTTTTTTACAGTTACTGTCAGCATAAAAGCCAAATACGTTTGTCCAGAGAATTTGTCAGTGTTAGGCTATTTATCCTGCTAAATATCAAATGTTTCTCTCTCTATCTCTCTCTCTCTCCTCCTCCACCCCTGCTCCCTTGCCCAACCTCCTCTCCCCTTTTCATCTCCCTCCTCCTTCTCAAAAAAACACCCCAGGAAAAAGCTATACCCTCTAAAGGGGCGGCTAGTAGGAAGACCTCAATAATGAAGATAAGAAACTGTGCTGTTAGATTTTCTCTTGAATGTCTACTGAGAATGGAATGACTACAGATACTGTGATAAAATGATAGCTTTAAAAAGAACCGGCAAACTTTTTTGCAAATGAAATAATGTACATTTTTCTTTCTAAAAAGATCTTTAAAATAGTATAATGATTGTCATTTTATGAAGTGCAAGACAGAGGTAAACTTGGAATATTGTATTTATTCTGACAATTCTACCTTAATTTAAATTATTAATTTATGATAAGTTGAAACTGTTGGCAAAGATGATATTTTTGGATCATCTATAGCCTGTTTTTTTATTAAAGAATACTAAAATGTGATTGTTTCTACAAATATCTCACTGTCTATTCATATTTAAGCATATTTCCATACTATTTTAATAGAACTCACACCTTTTGGAGGCAGCAAGCTATTTGGAAAGATGTTTTACAGTTAGGAGGGAGGAGGGAGTGGGATTCAGGAGTGATTTAAAATTTACTTTTGAGAACAGTTTTTACTTACCATTGTTTCTTCCTCAGCCACACTTGTAAGTTATTATTTTTAGTTATTATTTTTAGTTATTTTTCTTTATTAGTGCAATATTAACACATGGAAGTAGAACAAAAGCTAGAATAACAAAAATGGTCACTTTACCTATGCAGGTAGTAGTGTTGAATTTACCAGTGTCTTCATCTAGAATGGCAAATGGGATTTTGTCATTAGACCACACTCATATGTTTAAAGTAGTGCTGCAAAGTGGAATTTTCTCTTTAGACCCCATCCATTATACAGTTAAATTAATACTGCCTGGAGGGAGTGAAGTTGAGAACTTATGCACCTGTTTGCTTTTGCATTTTAATTTTACATTTTACATAAATCTATCTTTCTGCATTTGATAGGTATGTAAATAAGAAAGATGTATGTATGTGGTATTAAAAATTTCTATTCAAATTACAGTAACAAGTCACTTGAAATTTAATTTAATTATATAAAATAAAGCATTCAATGGAGTCATACTGTATTATGTTATTTTGCATACACAGAGAAAGAAAAATTTAAGTTTTTGGTCATGGTGTATTTCTTCTGCACTGATACTAAAATGTGGGTTAAACCGTTTGTCACATTGAGATATCTAATCAATAGTTAATGCTGCAAATACACATTCTTCATACTAGAAGCCACTATTAGCTTCATGTTGTCAAAAAAAAATATATATATACCATTATTCTTTGGCTGAATTTGGAAAGCATTGATGCTTTGAATGGATACATGGCATTTATTTGCTACTTGTATATGCAGAAATGTAATTCAAGGTCCTGGAAATAAGGTCATATTAATTCCAGTAACAGGTCGCATTAGTGATAGATGCAGGTGATTGTTTCTAGCAGTGATCAGTGATAGAAGCTTCAGAGAAAAAGCATGAAAAGCTTTGGATGAGCTTGAAAAAAATTTTCATGTTAATACAGCTGTATCCTAATCCTGCCTGTTGGAATCTGATCATGCCTTGAGGCAAAAATGTTAGTTTACCATTGCAATAATAAAGAAAAGTCCCTCCTATTACTGTTATCTCTTGATATTCTTATGATTCATGCAGATGTCCTATTTTTCCCCTTTGGAACTAAGTTAACATATCCTATGTTCTCATAAGTTGGTTTGCTACACATGGTTGATTATCTGCAGTAGAAGCATTTCTTCATCTTACACCTGTTGCCTTTTAATTTTGTGATGAATTTACAAATTAAAGTAAATAGAAGTTCCCAGTCTGTCATATTAGTTTTGTATATTGCTATCATGTTTCCTCTTGCTAGTGTTTTGTGTAGAGTCACAGATTTTTTGGAAGTTTTTACAGGCCTCTGATTACTAATAATCTCTTTCTCTGAATATCCACTATTTCTGCTCTATCCTTTTTTTAGATAGGGGGACCAGAACTGAATACAGTTTTTTCAGGTGAGGGCAAACCATTTATTAATGTAATGACACTTTATTACTGGTGCTATTTTCCATCACATTCTTCATGCGTCCTGATACTTGTTTCCCTTTTGACCACCATTGCAAACCAACTAGTAATACGCCTATGGGTGGGAGGAAAAATGGCTTTTGTATGTGAGTGAAGCACTTAACAGTTAGGCATGTATATTTGTGTGCTGAGGAAGGGACTTACAGGGTAGGTGACACAAGCCACAGGGCAACCATTTGAAAGCAAGAATTCCCTGGAATTTGTTTTCAGAGATTTTCAGGTGGATAGTTTGTTGGAAATACTTAATCCTGTCAAAAAGGGATTGGGGAAGGGAATATATTAAAAAAAAAAAATCCAAACCACCCAAACTATTAATATCTGCCAAGTGTTTTTTTCTTCTGTTTTCCCCTTTTTTGAGCTACTGGTGATAGAAATAAAATACTATAATTTCCCATTTTGGTGCAGTGATGCACTGTGTAATCCAAAGTAAGACAAACTGTTAAAACTTCATATACTGTGTTCTTTATTACTTCAAGACAAGTATGTTTGTCATGCTGTAGTTCTGATTTTTTTCTCCCTGGTTCCTTTTCGTTCACCTGATACCTGAATTTTCATGAACTTTCTTTTAATAGGCTGAGAGAGCAAGAAAGAAAAGAAGCAGAAGAAGCTAGTCAGAAAGAAATAGAAGAATGGGAAAAGGCACTTTTAGCTCAAGCAGCACCTACAAGGATGGAGACAATGTGGGAGATTCCAGCTATTGGTCATTTTCTTTGTTTAGCACAACAGATTTTAAATTTACCTGAAATAGTGTTCTATGAATTGGAACGTTGTCTTCTGATGCCTCAGTGTAATGCTTTTTTATCTAAAATAATGACTTCTTTGTTAAGTCCTCCTCATCGCAGATCTACCTTACATCGCAGGCCTACGCTTTCCTACAGGACTTGGGAAGCAGCACTCAGACAGAAAGTACGACACTGGTATACTGTTGTAGGGCAGGCTGACAATCCTAACAGCTCTGCAGAAAAACTTGGATTGTGTCCCCAGTTCTTCAAAGTCCTTGGAGAAGTTAATCCCTTGGAGGAAAAGCTGTTTCATGAGCTACCGTTCTACCAGAAAGTGTGGTTGCTAAAAGGTCTCTGTGATTTCGTATATGAAACACAGAAGGATGTTCAGGATGCAGTGCTAGGTCAGCCTATCCATGAATGCAGAGAAGTAATTCTTGGTTATGACTACTTGGAGAATGCGTATGTTCATTTTCCGCAGTTCTGTGGTGCAGATGTTCGGATTTACAAACAAAAACCTTTTCGGGCTCCTGAATTCCCAGCTTCTCCTATCAAAGTTAAGAAAATGTCACGTATTAAAATGGAGAAAGTTAAACATGAATGTGTAAGCAAAAGCAATGGGGAGGTCAGCTCTGGTGGTAGAGAAATGCTGCTGCATCATTCCAAGACAGAAGTAATGAAAAGTATGGACTCCGTTGTTGTCTATCCAGAAAAAAACACACATTTAGATAGCTTGAGGGTCACTACAGAGGAGGTTAACTGTGAAGTCAAGACCTCAGGAGTCTGCGACATCAAAATAACTGGTTGCTATAAAGAGAACTTGAGGAATTACATTAGTTCAGGAGAGATTGTTAGTATGGGTAGTTCAGGAGAAATAAGGGCTATGGAGAATGGACAAGGCTGTGCTGAAATGGCCAGAGTAAAACCTGAGATCAGTCCATTCAAGGAGAACACGCTGAAAGCTTGCCAAATGCGTGTCAATGGCACTCATAGTGACAACCAAGACATAAATTACCACAAATCTGCTAAAGAAACAATGCTAGAGAACTCACTGCAAAATAATAAAAAACTAAATAAGTTACGGGCAAAAAAGAAGAAAAAGAAAAAAAAGAAGTTGAAGGATATTCTAAATGAAAATCTACAGAGAAAACTTGATGACTTGCAAAGAAAGCGTGAGATTCATCTTCATCCATTCAAATCTTATAAATCTGAGATCCAGAACAAGTTGTTTATAATTAAAAAGAAAGAAAAACACAAGAAGCACAAGTCTGGTAAGTCAATGTTTTTACCTGAAGTCAAAATTAGATGGATGTGTATTCTTTTATCAGTCACTTTCTTAGCTAATGAGTCTTCATTTTGTTTTGTGAAACAGGACAGCATTATTGCATTAGACATCTCGGATGTAATTTTAGTGTTACAGTTTCCCATTCAATAACACAAGCATATAAAACAGGCTCATCGGGCTGATTAGACCATGATTCAATTGCGGAATATATCCTGAACACTGAGAACATAAATCACTGGAAGCATCTGTTTGTTACAAAAAAATATTTAGGGTAATGAATCTAACTGGTTAGTAGTGTAGCTTGAAGTGCACCAGAGTGTAGCTTGAAGTTGTTTTATGCTGTTTTATGTCATAACATTTGTGGAAATATTTCTCCTCTTGCTGATAATATTACCTTATCCAAATTACAGAGAAATGCAGAGTAATTATATGTTATCATTAATCTGACATAATTCCTGCTGGAACTGTGCAGTCTTAGGTCACCAAACAGTATTGCTTTGACTGTGGGCCTGATCACTTTTCTGCTTAGTCCAACAACTGAGATACAGAATTTATGCAGGTCACATTTTTATTACCGATGTGGGCAGCATGTAGTTAAGAGTTTCAGTTAGGTGATACGCGATCCAGATTTCAGTTAACTCACTTAAAATTTTGAAGTAATTTTTAAAACAGTAAAGTAATGAAGTCTTAAATCAGTTCAGATTATCAGCTAGTTGTAGTATTTTTGATGTCATGTGAAGCACCGTAAAGTTTAATCTGCTGTCCTGTTGAGTCATGGGGTAAGCTATCTGTACTAGATTTTATGCTTCAAACATTGCATTTTGTGAAGTGACGAGCATATTTTCAGAACAGTGTAAATTGAACGGTAAGTACTGGATTTTAGCTGAAAAGCAGAGAGACAAAACCAAAAATCTGTGTAACAAAATGTGTTCTAAAGGGTAAGAGAATTCAGAGATCTGATGCCAATACACTTTAGCTAGAAGTTGAGCAGAAATTTAAAGCTAAGAAAACAAGTAATGTTTAGATCCCAAGTATTTGTGCAGAATACCCAAAGAACTGTCAAAGAACAAAATCCTCCTTCCAAAACATTTAAATACTCACATCTAAAATAAATTTTAAGAGTTACAGTTAAAGTTCATATATGTAGCATTCAGCAAAAGTAATGTATTTTACATTTACTTTTGTGACTCTTAGCTCTCCAGATGTATTACTCTTTTCATTTTTCTTAAAACCAAGCAACAAAATTAATAATAATAATCCAAATTGCAAATAAGAGCTCTTTAGTTTAGAGAACTATTAGAAAAAAATTGAGGACCAAATGCCTTTTATTTTTTTGTGGAAGTATTTAAGAGTAGGTCGCCATGAGGTGACCCTCATTTTGCAACACATGCTTAAAAATCTACTTCCTATGAATTAAAAAATGCTCATAGAACAGCATGTGTTATTTTTTAATAGATATTGTTTTGAAAGACGACCACCGCTAGCAAAACAGACTGGCAATGTTTGAAAGTGGCTTTTGAAGTTAAGTGATAGAGATTATGTTTACTGCCATAACTGCCTTCTTTATGCGTGTTGTAAAAATAACAAAAGTTTTAGAAAGCTACCCATTTGCCTCCGTTTTGATACTTGATATACTTAATAGCATGTTAGCAGAATTTTTTTATGGTTACAAATTATGTTTTGTTTTTAAAAATGAAAAGAGGCAAATTTTGAAGTGCTGTTAGAAGAAGTGTAAATACTGGCATGCAAGTTTAAACTTTTTTTTTAAGAAGTCCATTATGAACAGCTCTAACAGTGATCGTATTTATAATAAAAATATATTCTATAATATAATGTCAGTGAAAATTATCATATTTTAAATTTCTCATTTTTAATCTGTAATGTTAAAGAACATTTGATCTTGCATAGTTCCCAGACTAAATCCTGCAGTATTAGTGGAAACTGTAGTGCTTACTGTAATACGCTTAATTGCAATACCTAAATACAGGCAGTTCTTTCAGTTTGAAATTCCTATGTTTTAATTGACACAGTGGAAATTAAGCTCATTAATAAAACTGGAATTAAGAGAGAACTTTCTTTCAGTCAGTTTCCTTTTTGTATCTTGCATATGATGCACGGATGCTAAAGTTAAAACAGAAATCCCTGGCTTTTCCTTATCCCAGTGGTCTTCATTTCTTGCAGTAAATTTGTTTTGTTTTCCGAAGTGATAAAAAAAGTTTGGGTTTTGTAATAGCTTAATACCAAGGCTCATCTAATGCTTATCTGATACAGGATTATAATGGAGATTATTCATCCAATTGTCATCCTTTGTGCTTTATGCTGAGCTTCATTAGAATGTATTTTAGGATCCAAATATGCTTCAGAAGCTTATTGTAAAACAATCTGGTGTTCCATACTGCTAGAAATATGGCAGTTAAAACAGTTACTCTTTCAGTTTTAATTTGTGACTGACTTTTTTTTTTACATGACTGAATAGTAAATTCAGCAGTAGAACGCAATGTTCCTCTGTTTTTCCAAGTCCATATTGTGTCATAAGGAGCTTAACATTATCAGGGGTAATTTAATATAGAAAATAATTAGTGTATAGTTTTGTCAAGAATATGTATCTGTAACTGTAGATAAGTACCAGTGCCATTAATCATCTGAACTTAGGTTTTAGTTACACATATTTTCCATCATCAGAGAACACTGTAGGTACAGTATTACTCCCTTTCATTGTTAGTTTTGGACAGGAAGGAGATGTGTCAGTTCAACTGGAAATCCAGAAAAGAGTAACAGTTTTTTGTCATGCATTCTTTTGGTGTTTGCATAGTTTTGCCACGCTGATGGTGCATGGAGGCATCATGTGTGTCTAATCAATGAGAAATGATGGAAATTCCTCTTCTTCACTTTCACTTTTCCTGTGTCTTTAACTTGATCTGCTGGACCCGATAACAGTGGTGGATGAGAAGCTGAACATGAGCAGACAATGTGCGCTTGCAGCCCAGAAGGCCAATAACCGTATCCTGGGCTGCATCAAGAGAAGCGTGTCCAGCAGGTCAAGGGAGGTGATTCTCCTCCTCTACTTCGCTCTTGTAAGGCCCCACCTGGAGTACTGCGTCCAGTTCTGGAGCCCCCAACACAAGAGAGACATGGACCAGTTAGAACGAGTCCAGAGGAGGCCACCAGGATGATCCAAGGGCTGGAGCACCTCTCCTATGAGGACAGGCTGAAAGAGTTGGGGCTGTTCAGCCTGGAGAAGAGAAGGCTTAGGGGAGATCTTATAGCGGCCTTCCAGTACCTGAAGGGGCCTACAGGGAAGCTGGGGAGGGACTTTTCACAAGGGCAGGTGGTGATAGAACAGGCATAATGGCTTTAAGCTGAAAGAGGGTAGGTCTAGATGAGATATTAGGAAGAAATTCTTCACTGTGAGGGTGGTCAGACACTGGAACAGGTTGTCCAAGGAAGTTGTGGATGCCCCCTCCCTGGAAGTGTTGAAGGCCAGGCTGGATGAGGCTTTGAGCAGCCTGGTCCAGTGGAAGGTGTCCCTGCTGATGGCAGGGGGGTTGGAACTAGATGATCTTTAAGGTCCCTTCCAACCCAAACCATTATATGACTCTTATGATGGTCTAAGTTACACTCAGATGGCGTGTTCATTTCCATCTGTGAGGGCATAAAACATTCTTTTTAATCTGCAGGTGACAGGCATTGTTCTGGACATGATCTATTTCTTTTGATACTCTCTTGTCCTTTAAAGGACATTACAGTATTACAGTATAGAGCTTTTCCTCCTATACTTTTTAAGTGTCCATTAGTCCTGTAGCTGTTCGGCTGAAAGGGATAGGATTGAAATCATACTAATGCCTTATTGTTTAGTAATGTTTCATAATGTTTAAGGCTAAGTAGTAATTTTCACAGCTCTTCTGAAATTTTATCTTCTGTTTAAAGATACTCTTGCAATGTAGAACAGAGAAAGAGATTTTGTAAAACTCGTTCTGAATTAACAAAAGGTAGTGTCTGGTGTACTGTCCTTGGGAATTTAATCTTCACTTTTGTCTTCAGAGTTGTAAAAACTTCGTTGTAGCTTTGTCTAGCCTCTGGGCCTGGAACAGCTTGTTAACCATGTTGAAAACATTAAATGAGCTATTCTACCAAGTTGTAACTTATGTACAATAAGCTGCACTGTCAGTATCTTTAGAAACATGTACCACTGAGGTTTTTTGGGGGTTACTTAGTTTGTTCTGTAAATCAGCATTATTAATGCACTTGTTCAGACCTGCTTTGCTGTTTTGACTATATAGAAACATATGCTGTGTCAGTGTGGAACCTTCAAAATCCATAGTAATGCTTCACTTTCCAGATTATTGTATGTTATATTTTCTAAAAGAGGAGCTGTTGGGAGCAAGATAGAAGATTCTGAGAATAAAGAGAAAAGAGGACATGCTCAGTAGTTGCCAAACTTTGAAAGGCATGAGAAGTGTCTTACAAATTTGTGAACAGGAAATTTCAGGCCAGTTTTTCAATTTGAGAAGAGTGGAGCTGCTGCTAGAATATAATGAGAAGACAGGAATTCTTGCAGTTGAAGGGGGCTAACTTAACTTTATTTTACCATGGCAAATACTACTTGGTGTTTGATGTCAAAAACATGTTTCCCATCTAGGCGAATGAGTTTGTGTATTTATTAAAAATTGCTCTATGATGTCATTTTATAATTTGAAGCACAGATTGACATAATTTTTGTTTTTCAAGGTGGCCTCACAAGGACTCAAATACCATAACCAGAAATTTTACTAGATTTGTAAAAATGTTCCTGTTTTCAAATCAACAGGATTTATGATATGATAATTTACAAATGGGTTGTATTGTCCTTGCTGAGGTAATTTACAAATATGAAGAGCATTTCTGCATCTCTGTTTTATTTGTCTACATTTATATGCCTCTCAAATAGGACTAGAAGAGATCTGAAATATCATTTATTTATTTATTCTCTCTTCCTCACCCTCATAT